GTGTGTGTGTGTGTGTGTGTGTGTGTGTGATTGTGTACACGCGTGTGAGTGTGTGTGTGTGCGTCGGCGCACATGTGTGTACATAAATATAAAAATACATGATGGTAGGACACCTGGCAAGCCTGGCTAATTCTGAGCTTGATCAATGTATCTTAATGTTAGCATTGTCAGCATTCCTGGAATCTTAAATTTCATAAATCGATCAGAATTCTTACTTCACTTTATTCGCGTACTACCTATCATGACCATATAAAACTCGAAAACTGTGAATCTTTTTTATTATAATTATATGCTGTATCCCGCTAGTTTTATTACTATTTTATTTGTCGTGGGTTTTTTGACACGCTTCTAAATATTGAAATCCAGCTTCTTCTTGTATTCTTCACAACTCCTCGTCACTACTGGCCTCGCTGCTACAACGAGATACACAACATTCTGTGCACACTCAAAAGGATGTTGCAGTCAAGGAATTCACGCCTTGTTTACCGTTCTTCAATCGAACCTTTCGTAGGGATTCTCGAAATCGTGTTTCGATGCATTCGCATCTGAAAAATAGATACATGTCATTTCTTTTATAGCTCTGAAGCTCTTTCACGGCTACAAGTACTTGGCAATAACCACTTACTGGCTTTGATGCTGAGCGATCATATTCGTATGCATTGGTAGCGTCTGCCACCTCCACAATGCTGTTGAACTGGACTCTGTTTTTGTAATATATATACATAGTTGTGTTGTTGATTTATGATGACCTCCGTGTATGTGACAGGTGTATATATACACAAAAGTACTAGCGATTTAATGTGAAAATCAGTATATATGTATGGGAAATATATCAACAGTGCCAAACAATACTGCGGGTCGCAGTATACAACAAGAGAGATTTTTATATTTTCCTATCTTCTTCTGACCCTTTCTAAACCTCTTATCCGGTTATCCCTGGTGAATCAACATTTCGAGGCTATTTTTTAAGCCTTTATGACGTCAGTCATGGATTTCAGATCCACGCAGTGGAGTGGAATGAGTAGATGACTGAGTTTTAGTTGGTCACAGATTATTTGAAATTTCGTTGTATGTTTCGAGAAAAAAATTTAAAAATGCTCGCGGATGCAGCTCTGAACTTCTGAAGTCGCTCTCGCGGTTCGCATAAATATGATCATAATATTTTTCATTTTTGGTCTGGCTCGGTGTACTTTTTAACTTGGGAGGGGGTTCATTTATTTATTTTTTAACAAAATATCTATTCTGGTTGCAAATTTAAATATATATATGTATGTAAGCTCATACATATTCGTTTGACCTTCGTATATAATATATATACGTTTAACTTTCAACATTTAGCGCAATACCACTGTTGAGTTTTGACCATGTTATGTAGATTTAATGGTTTACTGATTACTCTCTTCGTGTGTGCTATTTTTATATCTTTAAATGACGTCAACAAAACTTCAAATTCTGTCACAACTCCCAAGTTTTAAATAGTTATCAACTTCACATTCACAGTTTCACACGTCTCGTCGAAAAATATCAATTTCTCCAAGATATGTGCAATTGTGCATAGTATTTACATTTTACAGTGCTTTCCGCAGAGACCCTGATCGGTTGATCTCTCTAGTAGAGAAGGTCAGAAGGGCCATGTCACAACTCACAACTGTCCAAAAAGACAAAAAATGGCGTAAAAATTCATAGCTTCTGAAAAAAACTACACTAAAATCGTTTGTGACTTCGTGTGACGGAGTGAGTTTTGACCACACTAAACTGTGGTATCTAATGATTACGGTACAGCCAATTGACAACTGTATAGGTCGACATACACGCGCAAAGCTCTGTGAATTGAACATGTTTGGTTTATCGGCTGTGACTCTGATTTCACTCGTTGAATGCTCGAGACGCTAGTGTGCTGTCCTCTGCGTCTCTCACACTGCTATCCGATGACTCGACTGGGTTTTAGGGTTGGGGACCTTAACGTTTACCCTGTCTTCGTGTGGCTACTTGACCTCTAGGTGAGGCTCTAGCTCTCAGATTCTATTGAGAAGGCACAGACAAATAAGGACCATCCGAGACCATACAGATCCCGTTAATCAACCTTTGGCACAGGACCTACGAAAAACTCTTTGGCAGATAGCTCCTCATCATCTCCATTTTCCTACTGCACTCTATACCGACCAATCTTTACCGGCCATTCTATATGTGCAAATCTCCAACTGTTGAGTATTATACACCGGTACCAAACTTTTAGTCCTGTCAGTCGCTACATCGATAAATGTGTAAATATGTATGTTCTTATCACTTGTGGTTATGCAAGACTTTTTGCCCGTATAAAAGTTAAAGCGACACGACGCACCCGGCTCTCGTTTATCCGTCTTTTCACCACAAACAGATGAGCTTAAGTATGTGTCGAAATGAGTTGTCGCGAGCCTACGAGTCTATGCCCACGCACGTATATCGAAGTTTAGAACGAGATATACTTCATCTGACGCATAGAAACTGTAACCCTTCTCTCATTGATGTTTGATGTCTTAAGCACATGCACAAGCCCTCTAGATCATACTTGCACCGAGGTGACTATCGCTCTGGTATTAATGTCGATTTTAATTAACTGATGTAAACAATTTAAACTACATAGCACAATGGCATTTATGCAGTTTCAAGCATTATTTTGCTCGTAAATAGTTCTGTGCCGTGTATCTCTTTTCCGAAAAAAAGAAGCTTATAGTACATACTATAAATTCACAATTGGACAACTCGCAATTTAGGCGAGAATAGTACAAACAAAAAGCTCTGAATTGCAGACAGGGACAATGTCTAGATTCAGAGTAATGGAAGACGTTCTGGGAGTTTGGAAGCTGAAATAAATCAAACGATACACATCCGTAGTGCTGTATGACC